ATAATAGAATTCAATCAATCATTCAATATATGAGTCACAATATATGTAATTATCCTGTTTACATTGTGCATGTACGTACGTATTCACAATATCCACGAAATCTCCTTACAAAATTAGATTATTACTAAAAAAACATAATATGAGAAAAACTTTAAAGCCATTAAGCGGATTACATATTTGATTATTATGTATCCAATAATAGCTAAAAAAACTTTGTTTTTATAAAACACATCGAAATTATATATAAGGTTTTTAATAAAACACAAAGTTATTACTTTGCCACGAGATAAGTCAAGTTTTTAAAGAATAATAAAGAAACTTTTCTATAAAAAACAAATAGAAGTTAACAGGTGAATTAGGTTTTTTATTTTCCCCTTTTCTACATATATAACATATGCTATATCAGACCGTACTAAAATTATTCTTTAACGTCACAATGGTATTTATTAATGCAGGTTATCATATGCGAGACCGTAATTAGTCTTGCTTATTAAGCACAACAGCAAAGTACAAGTACAATGTCAAGGTATACAAATGGTATGTTGATTAGTAACAACATTAGATTAAGCAGGAATTTCTTCTTTTACAATATCATTTGCCTCTATTTCTTGAAATATCACTTTATTTCAGAGGCAATCTTTTAAATATTCATCTAGTGTTTAACACGTAACCATCACGATCTGACGTAGAGGAAAAAAGGAACCAATTTATTATGTAATAAACGTTGTACTGGGGTGGGTACAACGCACCTTCTCGCCCCTATGGGGAGATACTCGGTACCAGGAGGTTTCCCTTGGCAAACACTTTAATACAGCACCGTGCAATTCGTCCATCCATTTCCGAGAGAAAAGGACGCGGACAAACGCTAGCATTTGAAAAAACGCTTCACATTACTTGCTGCATCGTGAAATGGGAATGTCACTCCTGCAAGAATAAATATGGATAGTTTTGAATTTCAATCAAGAAACATTTGTTTGTATGAAAAGAATAATATCTTCTCGAGATAGGGGATTTGTCAAGGAAGCATTATGTAATAGAATAAGAAAAACGGCGTGACATTCTGGAGCAATTCTCGAAACTATTCTGTTGGGGAATAATTTTGAGCATTTAGAGCTACATGTATCGCTTTATAGATATAATTAACATTATTCATAATTCATTTCATATGTTCGAAATATGTTAAAGCTGTGGTGATCATTTAGGTATAACATTAGAAAATGACTATATCTTATTGTATAAAAGCCATAGGTACATACAGTAAATATTAGAGTAAATCAAGTATTGCAAAATTAAAAGCTCAATTACTGTACAATACAAACATAAATACGAATAAAACGTAAAAAGTACTATTCGAGTAAAAAAAAAATAACAACATTAGTATGCTTTCGATCATAACAATTGAAATTCCAGCAGTCATTACAGAGTATTGTGTCGTGATGTGAACGCCCTGCATCAATGGTCGAGATAATGAGTCTCCAAGACTGCGTCAAGTATCTAGTATCCGCCCACACTTGTCACTTACCTGTCACTTATTGTTTGTGAAAGTAACTACAATTTCTTGATGATTGTAATAGGTGGTAATAGCCTTATATTCATAGTATTTTTTTATGAAAGCAATTTTTTATATTTTACTTTTCTAAAATATTCACTTTGTACAAGTCATGTTTATGTATGAGCGCTACGATCATTGGCATCAATATATTCCGTTGCGATAAATCTTCCAATATTTCCACATCAAAAGTTCTGTTATACCTAATTATAATAGATTAACAATGTTTTTATAAATATTTGTTATACTCATAATATGGGCTACAAATCTGTATAGGGTAACGAACTTAATAGATGGAATGAGTACTGTAACGGTAGGTACATATATAATATCCGTTACGCACATTATCACGTAGAGTTTGTCGCGTTAAGCGCTGTTATCCGCGTCGTCACGTTATAGTGCCGAGAAAAAAGATTTTTTCACAAAAACTGTCGCGAAAAAGGAGACTTTTACAGGCCACTGGAGATACTTCTTTAAAGCTAAGGCCTCGTAATTTCTTACGACTTTTTGAAATTAAGAGACGGCGAAAGCTCCAATTATATTTTTTGTGTGATAAAAATTCGTAAGGAAAATAAAGATTTTAAAAACAAAAGTAATATTTATTAATGAAGTTAAAAAAGAACCATATACTTGCGCATTGTATTTAATTAAAAAAAGAGGTATAGCGATAACTACCGCTGTGGGGGCATAGTAATTAACAAGAGAAAAATGTTATAAAATAAAGAGTGAAAATTCGAAATGAACGTTCGAAACAAGAGCTTGGGACCATATATAAAAAAGACAAAAAAACATATATTAGGCGACAATAATACACATTATGGTAACACAGTTCGATTCAATTTAGCGCTTTCATCAGTCAGTCTCAAACAAAGACCAATAAGTAGAGCCTGCTATTTGTTACATAATAGGTGGATGCATAAACATTAACAGGTATCCGTTCAGATACGTCGGTACACAACACACATTACATAACAGCGGAAATGAGTCCACTATTATTATAATTATGAAACGTGTTTACTGTTAAAATGAGTATACTTGTATATTTAATAAGCTAAACAAAAATATTAAATAACTTGTTAATTTTACTTTTAAATTAATTAAGTATATGTAGGTACTAATTTGTATAAAATTAAATTCTTATGTAATGTCTATAGTGTATACATTATCATAGCATAATGTCTAGGTAGATATATTATGCCACTAGCGACTCACCCTCGCTTCGCTTCGGGTTCTTCCCTAGAAAATAACAAATCTATCCCACGGGAACCATACAATTTTCCGGAATAAAAAGTAAACTATGTGCTAATCCAAACTGTAATCTATCTCTGTGCCAACTTTCATCCAGATCCGTTCAGCCGTTTTGACGTGAAAGAGTAACAATCATCCCTGCATCCTTTCACATTTATAATATTAATATGTAAATTAATATGGATTTGTATTTGAAAAATGTATTGAAATCACAAATTAAATCGTCAACGATTGTTGAATGACATTTTGTCTAAACCCGTTTCTTCGGTCAGTTTCTTCCGGTCCGCTTTGAACAAGACGCGACCGTCGTCTCATCTACTCGTATATTATCTATACATATATAATAAAATTGTAACTAAGCCGAATCCGTACATCAAATATTTTTTGGAAAATCTTTTTGAAATAAACATTATTATCGATACAGAGGCCGAATCTACAGTTTTTAGAATTTTTGTCTGTCTGTCTGTTACCGCATCACAGAAAAACCACTGGAGGCATTTTGATGAAATTTGGTACGGTGATATCTGGTTCTCCGGGTCAACATATAGGATACTTTTTACCGCGGGAAAATTTCTCATTTCTGAGAAAAAATACAAAAACTGCAATGTAAGAGTATACTTACGTAAAACCTAAGAATTTGGTTTATGTTCATCTAAACGCGGGCGGAGCCGCGGGCAATGCTATTTAGCTTATAATTTTGTATTATAGATATATGTCACATTATATTTGCAATGTATTTAAAGTATATAATATAATTAAAATTACTATAAGGTGATTCTTCTCTTTTTTCTTATCATGGTTTCTTTTGAGGACGGCACAACGTGTTCCCGTTTACCTCTATTATCTCAGCACGCTCACCGTTTATATAGATAGTCAATAAAAAGGTTTTTCTTAGAAAATTTACCCATAAAAGAGCAATGTTTTTATGGAAAATCATATTTTTATTCAGGTACAAACCTAAACCATTGTTTTAAATACAATTAATGAATATTTTCCCAATTTTTATTTTATTTTGATCCACCAGTGATAATTAAGATTAAAATATTTTTAAATAATAAAAAACACAATGTAACTTAATCTTAAATAACTTTTAAGGTAGATAGATACAGCAACAATTAATAGAGTTAAAATATAATTCACAATTTTAACCAGAAAAAAATAAATAACTAACTTTGTTAAAATTTTACACTACTCATTCGATTTGCCTCAAAGGATTAAAAAAACATAATTTAGTGATTATCCAGGTCATTAGCCTAGTTCTCTAGGCTATTAAAATGATTAATATATAAGCTTAGCTAAATGTATGTATGTATGTATATGTTTATATTTGCATTGTGTACCTACATCATATCTCAAGCCCGTCCTATAGTGTAAGATCGTTAACCTCTATACAGGTCTACTAATAAGCACTAACTGGCAGACTTAATGGATTATGAAGCTAACGCCCTTATTATATGTATATATGCATAACTAAAAAAAGTATTATAGTTCTTCTAATTTAAGAATGCGTATTTGATGTTTCATATTTTTTACAGTTTAATTACTTTATACGAGTATATGTAATAAAAACCAGTTAGGTAATGCCAAGGAGTTACAATTTTAAATATATACTGTATGTACATTACGAATGCTATATTCCTTTAATATTAATTTAAATTAGAATTAAAATTTTAATATTAATATTATTTATTTATTTTATTTTAACTTCATTAGATGTATGTATCGCCTAGGATAGCGTGGTAAGATTTTGAACGTATAATGTATATCTTTTTGTTTTATTACTTTTGCACAAAATTCATGTAGATACTAGTTCTAGATTAATCTTTTTTATTATTTTTATTTAAAAGGGGCAAATGACCATTATACGTTATCATACTTACATAATCAAATCGATATTGATATTTTTAGAAATTTGATATTATCTTACAAATTATATTAAAAGTTTTATTATTGTATTATAAAGATAATAAATAATATTGAACAAGATATAATCTATGAAAAAGGTAAAAAGGTGGCCGTCCTATTTATTATACATTGCCTTCATTAGAATTAAACAAAAATGTGTCTAAACGTAAATAGTAAGTTCAATAATGACCCGTTTTTCATAAATATAATGCTAAAATGACTAATATGTTAATAAAAAAAAATCAAACTGTTAATACATTTCATATTTGGTATTCAAAATAAATAGGGTTGTAAATCATTCCGTTGCGAATTCCTTGACCTGAATATAAAAAAATATATTACAACATTAATTTTAATGGCCTCTAAACGTGGAAATAATTAATTTTAAGTAAACAATTGAATTGTTATCATGTATTTAAATATGTATACAGTTTAAGTGAGAGGAAATAAAAATGTTTATTTTTCTCCTATAAAAAGCTTAGAGCAAATCAGTTTTACAGCCCTAGTTAGTTACCAGTAACTAAGACTTCCTGAGTGTGTTTTCGTAAATATGTAAGTACTAGCGACTTACCCTCGCTTCGCTTGGGTTCATCAGACTTTCATCCCCATTCTCACCTCCGTAAGGGATGATTTCCGGGTTAAAAAGTATCCTATGTCCTTCCCAGAGTTTCAAACTATCTTCTTACCAAATTTCATCTAAATCGGTTCTGTAGATCCAGAGATTACCCCCTACAACGTCACAAACTCACAAATTTTACCTCTTTATTATATTAGTATAGATTATACAAAATGGAACTATGCAATTAACCTAAAACCAAAATATACAATATACTACTAACGTACTTACCCTTGCAACCCTAAGCTGGTGGTGTATCCCTAAGCTTCGATAGTTTAGGAACGCATAAAAGGCAAACGTTCAAAGAAAACACCTTTTTTTGGGCCAGTAACCTTCGTCTACATACCTTTACACAATAACTCACTAGATTTTCATCACAATCTGATTAATGGTCTAGGAACGCATAGAGGACAAACATACGATCATCAATTTTTATTCATATAACTAGCGGCTCACCCTCGCTTCGCTCGGGTTCGTCGCTAGGTACGTTTTAAGTAGAGATAAATAGTTATTAGCCAGCGCTAGCCATATAATTTTCGTTAATTTTTCTGATGTTTTAATACTTATTATCCTATTCCGGACTAAGAGAAATCCAAAAATTCAAATATCATAAAAAATAGTCCAGCCGTTCTTGAGTTTTATGTCACGTCACACGGGAACGCAATCGAACGGAATAAAAAGTATCCCATGTCCGTCTCCTGGGTCTAAGCTACTTCCCCACCAATTTTCAGCCAAATCGGTTCAGCCGTTGTTGAGTTATAAATAGTGTAACTAACACGACTTTCTTTTATATATATAAGATTGATGTCATAAAAATACTCGTAGTATTATTTAACAAACCTATAGCCAAAATGTGTATTTTGTATGTGTAATATGTACAGTTAAGAAACTGAACAGAGGAAAGGTGTATTAACAGCTGTTTTATATTTGATTTTCACGCTATTATTATAGGAAGAATGTAGAGCTTCTTTGAATTATAATAAAATCTTATGTAATGTGATATCTAGTGCTGATAGTGTATGTACTGTAAGTTGTGAACAAAACCAACACAGTTAAAAACACTGATAGCCTTACATACATTATTGAGCAAATTCTGCCTATTAATTTTTAGGGTTCCGTACCCGAAGTTTGCCAAGGGAATCAAATTACTAATCCTCCGCTGTCTGTACGTCTGTCAGTGTGCTGTATCTCATGAACTGTAATAGGTAGAGTAAAATTTTCACAGACCACGTATTTCTATTGCACTATAACGACAAATAATAAAAATAAAAATACAAGGAACATTTTTTAACGTTTGTATCGATCATAGATGTTAATATACCTACTAAAAAGTATTTATACTATGGTACGGAACCCTTCGTGCATGCGAATTCGACACGCACTTGACCGGTTTTTATAAATGTTTCACACAATGATTGGTAATCTATATTGTATCTCGTTTTTTTTGAAACACTTATAATATCAAAATGCAGTATGACGGTATAATATAAATTATAGAAAAAAATTGTCATTTGAATTAAAAACTTTCGAAACAATACAAAAATAAGAAGAATGTTGAAATCGATTTCTAAGATTTCTATACATAGTCACAAACAAAGCCAATCAAAGAGCGATAAAAATACGCTTTAAAAGATAAAAGCTACTGCTACGAGTAGCTAAGTTTAATATTCATATTATAATTTATATGATAGCTTTTAATATCAAAATATATAATATAAATATGTTGGGACATTATCACACAGCACTATCTAGTTCCATAGTAATCTACGGGGCTTGAGTTATAGCGTCAGTGGGACTCGAACCCGCGACTACTGGCACAGCAAGTAGGGTCACTACAGACCGAGCCAGTCGTGTCAATAATATAATTTACTAACCAACTCTAAAAACGGGAGACAAGCTTTACTCGACGTATATACTTTTTTTATACAAAATGAGATTACGGTCTCACTGTACTGTTAGAGTACCTATAAGAATAGAGAGTGCTTATAACATCTGAAGCACCAAGTTAGTCTCAGTGAGATTATCCACCATGACCGTAATTTCGGTCTTATCTTTTTTATATTAAGTATATAATATATTATGTACATAATATCTATATAAACGTCTAAAATCACGATGGTATTCTATGAAACAGCGATAAACATTCAATTTCTATGAAACTTGATTATTAATATTATTCTATTCCACGCAAAGATGAAAATTGCAAATATTTTCATGCTAATTAGGTATTTTTTGTTCTAATATTAAAGTAGGTACCTAAATAACAATTACTTTTATATAATACGAATTTATTAACCGTTAATATTTTATTGTGTATTATAGTTCAGGGTCTTTATATTGTTAAATTGACCCTGAATTTATTTATTTTACTTTTACAAAAAAATTATAATTTGTGTGATTATTGAATCATGAGTATAGGTATTTGGATTGCTTTTAATTAGCAAATATATTTTGCTTGAGCCTACGCTCGCTAAATATTAAAGTTGATGAAGGCCTGGGTGTTATGCCAAGATATAAGTTATCTCCACTTCTAAATTTCGCTTAAATACGTTAAGCTGTTAAGGTATGAATAAACAACAAAGAAGTACACTCAATCGCTTACAAACTTTCGCATACATACTGTGTTATGTACATAAAATGTAATTTAACAGCTATCAATGGGAGGAATTTGTTTACATGCATAGTGCGTGCCATAAAAATTAAAAATTCCTTAAAATCAAAAATTCTTTAGAAAATCTTATTTTATCTACAAAAGTAACCTTGTCTCAATGTATAAATAAACACACTTCCTTGTATCCAATTTAAAAAAAAATATAAAAAAAAATCGATTAATATTACATTATAATAAGAAATAATAATAAATATTAAATTATAATTAATACTAATGCTAATCTAATATAAAACGAGGATGCTCCAGCACCTTGATACCCGTCGCCGACAATCAGTCTGTAGTAGCGCCAGCTCTATGTGCAGGTACGTTGTAGTGATGTAGGAACCAGGAACTCATTCTCGAGTTTGGTCTGCGATTCGATAATTCCTCAAACAACTAAGCCAGACAAGTTTTAGTGTACCATGTATGTAGTTGTAACTGTTTTCTGTCCAGCGAACATAACAGATTTGACAATACCTTGCTAAATTTTGGTCTTCGAGGTTGAGTTGGTTGCTCCTCATCATCAAACACCCATATCTTGCTTTGTAATTTAGTAGGTACGTCGTAATAATATATCCTAGTTCCGTCGCCGGTCACAATCGAAACAATATCCTTAGATTTGCCATGTGAATTTTTTTTAACATAAATTTGCACCATTCGACGGGACGTTTCTGTTGCTGTTCGTTAAGTGCATGGGGTACCCAAAGCGTAAAAACCTTTTTTACATGTAAATGTTCAGTCACAAATTCGTGTAACGTAGCTATAGGAATGTTCAAAAGCTCCTCTATTTGCCGGTACGTTATATGCCTGTCTTCTCGTATTGCTTTTGGTTTTGGCAATGTCACTTCGATGGGTCTACCTGGACGAGGATCATCGTCCAGTCCGAATGCACCTCGTTTGAATTGTAGATACCAGCGTTCTATAGTCCTCAAGGATAGCGCTTCTTGACCAAACACAGATATCATCTCATCCAGACATTCTTGTTGGCTTAACCCACGTTTGAACGTACAGAATTACGCGATAATGACGTTTTGTCAAAGACGCCATATCGAAATTATTAAAAAAATCTTGCAATCAAGTTATTCTTCGTAGAGTAAAAAAACAAACATGGAATGTTTTGTTGATAATTACAGCTTCTAAATATAACAATTTAGTTTTACTGCTACCCTGGAAAATAAATGGTACGACAAGACATATTGAACAACCTAGAGTTAATTTTGTGGTGAATGTGAACAAGAAATCGATTAAAACTCAGTTTAAGTCACATTTTGTTAATTTAAACTCTTAAAGTAAACAATTAAATTGTTTTGGAAAATCGTATTGAAATAAACATTATTATCGATACAGAGGCCGAATCTATAGTTTTTAGCTTTTTTTTCTGTATGTCTGTCTGTTACCGCATCACAGAAAAACCAGTGGAGGGATTTTGATGAAATTTGGTATAGTGATAGCTGGTTATCAGGGTCAACATATAGGATATTTTTTAACGCGGGAAAATATCTCATTTCTGAGAAAAAATACAAAAACTGCAATGTAAGAGTATACTAATATGTAAAACCTAAGAATTTGGCTTTTGGTCATCTGAATGCGGGCGGATATATACTCTGAAACACTTTGTCATTTTTAGGGTTCTATATCTTAAAAGCAAAAAAGGAATCCTTTTGTCTGTTTGTCAAGACCCTTTCTTTAAGGAACGGTATATCAAGTGTATCAAGTTTAAATTAATAACAAATGTTCAGGTCTCCAATCCCTTGGAGTTGTAAAAAAATTAAACTTCAAAGTCAATGCAATCAAAAGATACGGCCGATGCCGCATTGTTTCACAATCGCAAGGGAATCAAAACCTATAGGGTTCCGTTGACCTAGAATAATGAAAGACAAGAAGCAATATCTTATAGCACACGGAAAAAAATAATTTAAAAAATGCGATTATAAACTTACTAGCATTGCCCGCGGCTCCGCCCGCGTTCAGATGACCAAAAACTAAATTCTTAGGTGTTACATATTAGTATACTCTTACATTGCAGTTTTTGTATTTTTCCTCAGAAATAAGATATTTTCCCGCGGTAAAAAGTATCCTAGGATCGCGCGCTACATCGCCCGGTTTATATAGCTTGAGCAGGCGGTCGAGCGATGCGGGGCAGAGGGGATGGACTCGCCGTAGGCATCTCAATGCTCGCCAAGCATTAAAAATGTTTCGCTACTAATTACTTCTAACAACGATATCTCAAAAACTATTCATCTGATTGATTTAGTGTAAAGAGCAATTTTAATCTGCATTAAATGACTAAGCTAACTAAAATATTCATTTGGATAAGGATTAATACCGAACCAAAGAAAATAACTTTGAAAATAACGTAATGTTTTTAATTAAAAATGTTAACATAAAAGTGGTTATTGTAAGTCAACCGTAAGAGATAGAGATATGCTATCGCGGACTTTTTTGTAGCATTTTTATAGATTTTGAATTCTCTAGTACATTACTTAACTGTATCTTTGCTAGTTTACGCGGCGTTCGCGTGGAAAGTTCCCATTTGGCGAGATTTTTTGCGACCTCTTCAACATTTGTCGCCGTATTTCAGCTAATTTACATAAAAGCATAATAAATTATATACCTAAACCTTCCTCAAGAATTACTCTTTCTATTGTTGAAAACCGTATAAAAATCCGTTCAGTAGTTTTCGAGTTTATCGCGTACAGACAGACAGGAGGACAGAAAGACGCGGCCGGGGGACTTATTTTTATAATAAGTATAGATTTTAATCTTACATGCTTCGAAAACCTTCAGTGTGCGAGTCTTGAGAGCACTTGTTCGTTTTTTGTAATAATTTTACGATTTTTCGCATCATGTCAAACTTAAACCAAATTGATATATTACATTTGTAATAAGTAAGCTATAAACGAAGTAGACGTGTAAAGATGAGAAAGTCTCGCTCCGTAGCTTATTTTTTAACATTCGTCATTGGATTCGTCCTTTGAGGTGTTGACTATTCTTAATCAAGAGAATCGCAGTCGCGTAGTGAAAGCAATTCATCGTGATTAAATAATATCGCTGGTATCGATCCAAGCTGCTTTCTATTTATTACTGTTTTAAATATTTTTTATGGGTAACTATGTATTATAGATACGTAGAGTTTACCATAATTATAATCGATCGTATGTGATCGTAATACGGAGTCTTTAAATTGGTTGTTAAAATGATGTATGATGAAAATAGTACAGATAAAAAAAGTATCATTTACACCATTTTACTGATTTGCGAAAAGATAATGTTATGTATAACGATTTTATTAAGTTAAACCTGTAACTATTAATATGTATTGATTAATATCTTTGTGGGTTAAAGTTTGAAGTTCTAAGATTTTTAGAGTCCTATATAAGTAACTACTAATATCACTCTGTCTAATGTAAACTTCCATCATGTTGAATTTAAACACAAACAGGTATATTATCTTTAGAAACTAATAAAATTTCTCATACAAATTTATAGACTTAAAGCCACTGGGATTGATGATGTAGACTCTGGAGTTGTTGGCGGAAGCCAAACCAACAAAAAAAAAAGAAGAAAATTAAGTATTTGTAATTAAGAAAAAGCTACCATATTTTCTCATTTAGTATACATACATTTTTGGATATTGATAAATATGATATTTATAACTATAAAAATTTGACAATGTCAATACAAAATTTATTGTGTAATCGAAATTTATTTTAAAATATATTCAAAAATAACATTAATAATTGAATTAATAGTATAAAAAATGTTTTAAAACACAACAAAATCGAAAGTGCATAATATTTAACACCATTCAGACAAAGAAAGACAATAGCATTCCCAAGGAGGGTTGACGTCAGGCAGGCGGCCGGTCGTAAAACTTTTGCCAAATCCTATCAGCAGTACACTGAAGGTGTACTGCGCCGACCCCAAGTGATTTGGGAAATGGGCAGGGAGAAGAAGAAGAAGAAGAAGATATTTATAACTATAATTAAATACCTAGTACCTACTACTGGTACAATAATTATAAAAAATAGGCAGTAAAAAGAGAATCTTTACTTACTTACTTTAACTTTCTCACACATAATGTTTTTAGTATAGTGTGTAGATATAACTTAATAATTAAATTTAAAATTAAAATGAAAATGTAATAGGGTAAATAAGAGAATAGTAATTCATATTAGAAATTCTATAAAAATAAAAGGTGCAATAATAAGTTTCACCTACATATATGATTGTAATAACTAATTTAAGTGATAAATACATAAATGTTGGTCACATTGCAATTGGTTTAATGATTAACTTATACGGCATCAATATAACTGAAACAATAAAAATAGTTCCTATGATAGCATTATAGTAATATTTATTTTATTATTACATTTAAAAAAAAACTAAAATGAACAGGTAATATATAGTAATTTCATAAGTAATATCTATATTTTCTACAAGTATTCTTACAAATTTTAAAAACAAATTTTAATCATGTGATTCTTCTCTTTTGGTTATCACTCTTAAAATAATGGTTAAGTATAATGATTATACAGTAGCATTTATTATTATTAATTAAAATATTGCAGTAGGTACTTATTATTCTATTACTCAAAATACAAATTATCTTACATGTTTATAAGTCTTTCATATAGTAATACTATGATAGTATAGTTGTTTTCACTATTATTATTTATTTATTATCTAATAAAATTATAATTTTTGAAGCTATAGTACACATAAGTTTTTTAAAGTGAATTTGTAGCATTTGTTGTTTGGTTTACAATTAAGAAAAAAAACAACAATATTAGCCTATTGTGGTGCCTATGAATTAATTTAAAAAAATGTTCGACATTTTTTACTTCTACCAATTTAACTTTAAAATTAAAGCTAATTTTTAAGTCACTTTAACGTTATACAAATATTTAATGTATGTTACACAGAGAAAATCGAATACACATAATGTATTGGTAGTTCTATAGATTTCATTTTTAATTACTTTTTTTTAAATACCCTCATTTTAGTGCTTTCAGTTTGTAATGAAAAGTATGTCTCTACGATCTTGTTATTACAAGTAGGTCAAGTGGAACTGACTTATCCTACAATATACACAATAATATAATAAGTTTTATTGAGTTAGGAGTCACTCACACCTATGGCTTATTATTTTCCACGTACGCAACGCAGCTTCTGGCGATTTTCGGTTGAGCATGAGAAAGGGCTTAGAGGAATATAAAAAAAAACAAACAAAAAGTGATCAATGGTAAATCAGATTATATAAAAATTACCTTGTCGCCTGGAATGTTTTTCGCCGACATGGTGCGTCACCTTCCAGTCTCTTTACCCGACGTCGTCTTGATGACAATTTATCCAAAGAAAGGAGCTCAATGTTGCTGCGGCAGCCCAGCATACGACACAAAACACTTCACTTTATCAATCACTCGACCATCATCACAGATAGAACGTCGCATTAAAACCATAAACACAACAACCGAGCCATCGTTTGGCGTCGTAATCAGCACAATTTCCCATTGAGATTCATCGGTACAAATAATTTTTCATATCACAACACACAAACACAGCGACTGACAGAAGCAAACTTGATTGAGGTTGACGGAAAATGGCGAGGGATAGTTGCTGCTTCCCCTCTCGTCCCGCGCCTTCTATAATCTAGTAAGAAATAATTAGAAACTGCTCACAAGATGGCAGCACTACAATATTAAAGTAAGCAATTAAGCAATACACTAATATAGATGTCGTTGTTACATATTTAAGGGCACTGCTTTAGGATCCGGATCCCCATTTTTACCTGTAGTTATGGAGGATACTCCATACTTGTAATCATAAAATAAAAAAAGTGTTTTAGTTATTGTATTGTTTTAAATAAAAGCTTATTATCCCCTAATAAGGATATAATATTAGACGGCCTGACAAAATATCGTTTATTTCAGTTAATTTTTCTTTCTTTTTACGTTTTTGGTAAATAGTCTAGTTTTTTATTTATTTAAAAGTATTTTTCTGGTAGATTTTTGTACAACAATACATTATTAGCAATATCGAATTTTATTATATTTATATTTTACAGTAGCAACATTTAATAAGCCAAACTTCAACTTCAAAGCAAAGTGCACAGCACACAACGCCATCGGTCATTCGCCGCCATCGCTTCTCAATTCGCAAAATGGCGGATGGAGGCGTGGATATAGATTTATACGCCGATGATATTGAATCTGATTTTAATAGACAGGTGAGTAAAACAAATAACAGATTACTATGTTTATATCCTAAATGATAAAATTTGTATTATTTATTTACTTTCAAATATCCATAATAGTTGTATAACGACGCCGCTTTCAGGATGAGTTCGGAGGAGAAAATGTCGACTTATATGACGACGTAATAGCAGCACCAACATCGAAGCCTGATGATGACGGACCACCAAATTCCGTTTCTCAACACCCTCATCCACCAGAAGAGACAAATGGTTCAGCGCCTTACCATAACAACGCACCTAGCCACGGGCATCATGGCCGCCGCTTCCAACTTTATGTCGGCAATCTTACTTGGGTTTGTACCTGAATTTCTCTTTAGATTTAATATGTAAATATAGGATTTACAGTTATCCGTAAATTATACAAATATCTGTTACTGCAGTAAAACGGATATTTTATAGGACAGCCATCTTGTGATTTACCTACTTAATTTTCGCTTCTATTGATTTTTTAGAAGAATTGGCGTTTGAAATTGATTACGTTTTTATTATAATTTTTGTGTATCTCTTTTTGTTAATCTTTACCTACTTCCACTTTTGAACTATATTTTGACAACGTTCATTATGTAAAAACTTGAGACATTTCTGATATGACAAACATGGCAGATGGCGGTCCTATTTTTAAGTGGCCAAATGAAAGAATAAATTCAACATTTATGTTAGAGACTTGGAGTCATGTCAAATATATTGTATAATGAAACAGATATTGTTTTGTAACATGAATTGTATTTTGTTTCTTTTGTAAAATCTTAGATTTAAACCTCGAAAACTCAAATTATGCATAAATTTAAGTTTATCCTTGTACATCACTTCAACAAAAAAAATGTCTGTGGTTTAGTATTAGTTTTTGTAAGCTCTATGAGCTGCTAAATCCACATAGTTACCTATATACTTTGATGTTTTGAAATTATTAATACAATGTAAGACCATGTTAATATATAGTCGTTCAGATTATTATGATACTAGCGGCTCACCCTCGCTTCGCTCGGGTTCGTCGCTAGGTACGTTTTAAATAGATATAAAAAGAAAAAATCTTTCTTTCTCACATTTTAATTATATGTTTTAATACTTACCTATTCCGGACTAAGAGAAATCCAAAAATTAAAATATCATAAAAATTGGAACGCGGTCGAACGGGATAAAAAGTATCCTATGTCCTTCTCCTGGCTCTAAACTACCTCCCTGCCAATTTTCAGCTAAATCGGTTCAGCCGTTCTTGAGTTATAAGCGAAGTAACTAACACGACTTTCTTTTATATTTATGATATAATAATATATTTATTAGCATTATTAATTTGTTTTATGTTACAAGACAGTATGCCATATTTTAATTTTTGAAAGTTTCATTTGGTTATTTATTATAATAGTAGATGCACCATTCTGTTTTATATAAGATCAAATATAAAACATTTTGGTTCTTTTGATATATAAAAATTTATGTTGGGCTATACATTTACTTAAACAATGCTATTTAAACCACAACATAATTATATTGATATAGCAACATTATAATGCTACAGTAAGTACTAGGGAACTTAAAAGGAGCTTTATACCACACTATAATATACTATTTTTGAAAGAATTATCAACAATCGCTCTAAGTACACAGAAAGGACTCACTTAATCTGTAGAAACATTATGTAGACATAGGATGATGTATGTTTAGGTATAGAAAGCCAATAATTTATATTTGAAAAATTTTATTGTTATTTTATTTTGATACATAAATAAACTAAATGAGAGTCTTAGAAAGGTAAGCATAACAGGTTTTATAATGGTGCTATGTCATTTATTATGAGCAAAAACAAGTTGTATTAAGATGTGACTGCACTTTTCACTAAAGTTTACAAAAGTGTGTTAGTTTATAGTGTGTTACAATTTTGTTTCCACAATCACTTTATTATAAGGTAATATTCCTTTTAAATTGTATGTAATCTTGCAATTTATAATTGATGTTAGACAGTTATAGATATAATGCTGAATTTATTGAAACTTGTTTTTGCTACAATATTTACAAGATTGAATCTCCATGGTATTTAAAATAAGGTTTTTTAATATTTTGTTGTCGTATCACTGTTAAATTAACAACTATTTACGTGGGAATTAATTTCTTAGATCTACCATACTTCATTTTTTTTACTAGTTGATAAAGGATTTAATTATTATTGCCTTTGTGTTTCTGAAAATATGCACTTTGCAAATTGTAGATTACGACTATATTTTTGTTTTAATATTTTATTTAATGGATAAATATATGAACAAATATAAATGAAAAAATGGAGATATTTATGTTTTAACTTCTTAATTATATGTTATGGGTTGTATAAAAACATTTTATAGATCATAGTTTTGCAAGGATTTTTTGTAAAATTAAGAAAGTTTACATGTCTCCTATTATGTATTTGTGCAGGTTTAGATGTAAATAGGTCTACATGATAAAATTATCTTATACTTCCAAGGATATTGTTGAATAACTCATATGTTTTATACAAACCTTAACAAAAAGTAAATAAATATCTCTTATTAGTATATATATATCATTAACTGTTAAATGAGAAATAGGGATTGAAGGATCTTGAAAGTAAATGTTTGAAAAGCGAGTGTTGTGATGAATGTTGGTATATAATACTATAGTATATATTTATATATGAATTCATTTATTATATAATAGTATATAATTAACTCACGAGTTGTCTTTTTAAGTTTTAAAGACATGTCAGTTGGCATTTCTTATTTTTATTTTAATCGCTAATTTACACTTATAAAACATTTAATAATTAATTTACTATAACATAATTTCATGGTTTTATCTAAAATTCTGGAGATCTTGCTCACTTTTAAGTAGTAAGTAAAATTTAGTATTGTCCGGAATTTTGGAAATTAGTCAATTTAATTTGTCACTGAAATATAAATAAGCTGAAATTAATATTAATAATTTTACATGTAAATGTGTAAGTATTCGTCTTCACAGACTGGATGCTTTAAATTTTGTTTAATAGATTCATTCGAAATTGATACATATATGTTGTCTGAACCATTGAGCAGCCTATAAAATGCAAATTTATTTACATATTTAAAACAGGTTCCGTTTTGTAATCAGAATATTGGGCTAAATTGCATGCTTTTTGATAAGTGTTCTTATAAAATTTGCGCCAAAATTCTGATTTATCTGTTGTTCTATTACATATTTATTTTGACTAATATTTTTTTCTATCAGGTTAAAACAAGGTAAGGTATTTTTAAGCTTGTAATTTATTGTAGTATTGTCGAAAATCGCATATTGACTGATATATATGTTTTTGAATGTATATTAATTATTATTTGCGAGTGATCTCAAGTTTATTGTATTTGCGTTATTTTAGAATATTTTCAATTTAACTATCTATCATAAATAATTTTTAACCTCGGTGTTTAATAAAAAAAAAATAAGATACTATTAATTTGTAACTCCCGACTGTTGCTATGAAGTTTCGTGAATTATTTAATGTATTTTAATGAACTGTAACTAATAACCTGTACGTTTATTCAATATCAATATCTTTATGGTATTCAAATATATTTTTGATCGAATATTGGCTTGTTCGTATCTCGCGGTATTTGTAAAAATTAGTTTAAATATATGACGTAAATAAATTGTGGTAAAATGCAATTTGTACTCAAAATATAATGGTGTAAATAATAAATTTTAAAAATCATTGTATCGAAAAAACTACTTGCATTCCTTTGTTACTCATGTTGTTTGATCGTATAAAACAATGCAAAAATTGTATGATTTTGAATTCACTTTATTATTTAACAAAGTTATTAAATAAATTTAAAGATTGTTTTTGCTAATGTCGTATTTTATATACAATACGATTGACTAATACGATTAATTCTACTTTACATCTCAAAGTTGAAATGTTTACTATAAATAAGCTTATTATTTTTAGAGAATTGTAAATATTCTTTCTTCATAACTGTTGCGAGCCGACCCCGTTTATTTTGTCCGACTTTGTTTAATTGCAGAATGTTGACTGCTTTTTCTATGCTATCTATTACCATTAATTAACATGGCAATGACAAAACATGTGATATGAAAATAAAAGTCTGGTTAAAAATAAAACTGTTTCCTTTCGACCCAATGGTTTCCTTGGTGGAAAAAATATGATTGCAAAAAGTTTAAAATATTTAACTTAAAAGGAGCGCATGAATGTATGAATGTTACGAATGCTGAGTAGTTTCGAGCGATGCTTTCAAATACGCGTTAATATTCAACGTAGGGTTTCGTTTTGAATTTAGTAAATATCTAGTTCTTATCGTAATTTTAAAAGTAAAACTATTTTCGGGCGCCTATAGGTAACAAAAGTTCAGTTATGCGACACAGGCATTGAAGGCACAGTCAAGTATGTATTTTATATTTCGCTTCGCGTTCACGAGGTAGCGTTTCCTTGAGTTTTGGATACATTTTCCAGTGGGCGACCGACCAAGACATTGCTAACGCCATCGCCGATATCGGCGTAACCGACTTTCAAGATGTCAAGTTCTTCGAGAACAGGGCAAATGGACAGTCGAAGGGGTTCTGCGTCATTTCACTCGGTTCAGACCAATCCATTAGGATGGTTATGGACCGGCTCCCTAAGAAAGATATTCACGGGCAGCATCCCGTGGTGACACTACCAACTAAACAGGTAACTAATAAATACAATATAAGTATACAGTACTTTATTTAAAGCTACTTTTTGTCCGCATCTCCGTCTGTATGCTAAGCGGAGCGCTAATAGGTAGCCCGTTCACATGAAGCTTACCTTAGGTCCTTGCCAAATTTCATCGAAATCTGTTCAGCATAAAGCGTGAGAATATTTATATATTTTTTTATAATATCTACCTATAGCAGAAACTATTTTTTTAATTCCTAACTCTTATTGTTATTACTGATATTGTGCTAAAGATTTATACTGAGGATCACGGTTCTACTAATCAGTATATTAAAATAAATAAAAAGCCAACTTTAAATCGATAAATTTTCATGTAATTAAGTGAAACTAATAATTATTCGAGAAATAAAACAAAAATAATATACAAAATGAATTGCTATCTTTAAAGGAAATGATATCAAAGAGTTTTATATAAAGTGTATGTAAATAGAGTAGCATATTTATACACAAGTAGAACCTGGGCGGTCGAGTTCTGCTCGGTGGTTTTTGGAAAAAAATATAAAAAAGCATTTTTTCAGAAAATACACCTAGAAACATACAAAGCCAAGACCTTATCTAACAATTAATACGAAATTAGATCCAAACCGTTATCTCTATTTAAAAACTCGAATAAGATCCCATTAAAAGCGACAAAGGCCACATAGAAACCAATAAATGTTTATTGATTTCTATGTGGCTTTTGTCGCTTTTGATGGGATTCTATTGGAGTTTTTCAACAGGGATAGCTAACACCGTTGTTTCCGAGATACACGAAATAAATTTATATACATACTAGTATGTAAAAGAATTGCGCATTTAATATTATAAGATTAGACCTTTGAATAATTTAAATGGGATGACTTAAAGTATATTTTGTATTCACTTTTCGTTATGCAGAACAGCCTTGTGTCTGGAAAATTAAAATAATATATGTAAGACATTTAAAAAAAATACAGAACAAAAAAGCGGTTATAGTAACGGAATAAAAGGTCTATATATATATATATATATATATATATATATTTATGTAAAGATATTGATGGGTATATTTTAATATCTACTAAATGTTAAGTGAAAACCGCCCTTAAATCGGTTAAGCCGTTTCTGCGATTAGCGCGTACAAATGCACAGACAAACACAAAAAATCTAAAAATAATAATGCGTTAATAAAGACCAATAACAGTTATTCTCAAATATCATCCATGTATAGACAGCGATCAGTTACAATTTTGTTATATGTAAACATCTATCAAAAAAGTACAAGATACACAATCAGCGACAAAATATGTCCTCACCGAATGAGCGCTTATTTGAACTCGTTTTTTTTGTAAACAACATTAAGAATTGCATTTAAGATTCAATTTACATTTTCGTATATTTATTTCAACTAGAATAATTACTTCAACACAATTGGTGACAGTTTTATGAAAACTTTTGCGTGGGATTGTGTATCTAGTACTTTTTTAATCAATGTATGTAAAGATTTAATACACATTGTATAAGAATACAAGATAAAGTTCAACTTGCAAATCATGCAAAAGTGCAACTTTTTTAAATATCTGGTATATTTCACAGGCACTTAATCAATTTGAAAGTCAATCTAAGACCAGATCAACTCCACCAGGACCCAATCCTGGTATGCGAGGTCCTCATCCTGGCGGCCCACCTGGACCACATCCTGGAGGTAATTCAAATAAAGACTAAATAAAGTCATATATTATTAGTTAATGATAAGTCCATTTTACTCAAATTCTTGTTATTGTTACTTCAACAAACAAAATAGGGCACTTATGATGCAGTTAGATCCTAATAATCACTACAATTACTTAAAACGAGTGCTTTTTGAGTTGAAACCAAAATATTATTGAAATTAATGTTATGCATATAATAATACTAAAAATAGAAGTAGAAACACAACAAACAACAATATCACTTTTTATAATATATTACTAACAAACTATTAGCAATGCGCCGTTCTCCAGACTTCTTCGGGGGCGGGCCAAATGGACCAGGGCCGAACGGGCCACGTATGATGATGCCGGGCCCTGGTCCACATCACCAGCTGCGTGGACCACCTCCTGGCCCACATGGACCGCCGCACCACATGCCGCAACATCAAGGACCTCCTCCTCATCATATGCCTCCTCATCAAGGACCCCCGCCTCATCAGGGACCGCCCCAGCATAGGCCACCAATGCAGGTTAATAATTGACAGTTTGAAATCATTTTTATTACGTTTAAAACATTAATATTTATATATTATAAAGATATCATTGTTTTTAAAATTAAGTTTCTTTTTTAAATTAATATTCGACTTCATTAAAAAGGGCGTAAATAAATTTGTCATATTGATTTATAAATTCAACATATTATTGCTTATTGAGGATTTAGGTTTTAACATTTTAGTCTTATTTTCATAAGAAGCTTTGATAAAATTATATTTAATACCTTTATTTTAATAGTTAACTTATTAAACCAATATTTAATATGGGCAATTTATTCTATCACTTGGTTACCTTTTAACAATTGATCATTTTTAACACTAATATCTGTTTATTTATCGTTGAAGGCATTTCTGGACTACATCGAAAAGGTGATTAAAACCCTTTATAACATAAAATGAGAATTAACTGTAAACTTCATTATTTAATTATACCTAGTACTGATATTTGATATTGTAAATAGTAGTAATTTTTATATCCACATTCATTCGAAATCATTTATATAAAGGTCATACATATAAAAATCAATTAATGTCTTTTTTTGTCTAGTTCCAAGGGCCGCCACAGATGCAACGCGCACCAGGCGGTCCTGGTCCAGGGGGCCCTGGGCCAGGCCCGGGCCCCGCGCGGGGGCCTGAGTGGCCCCGCCCCCACCACATGCCGGCTCCTGCGCCTCAGTACGGGCCCCCGCAGCACCAGATGCCACATCAGATGCCGCCGCCGCATGCTGTGAGTGTGATGGCTGTGGGCATAATCTTGAATATGTTTTTGCGTACTTGTTATTCTTTACACCTGTGCCTCTGTGTTCTTGGTAGTGGCTAGTATGTTAAGCTACAGATCTGTAGTTCATTGGTTCGAGTCCCGGGCCGGGGCAAGTTTTTCGATCAAGAAATTCTCAGTAGTAGCCCTATGATTTGGGAAGCTGGCGGTGATACACTGTCGGGCCTCGGAGAGCAAGTAAAGCAGTCTGTCTTGCGTCTTAACTTTCAATGGTCGTGTCGAAGTATTGACCTATCAGACTGACAGTAAAAAGAAATTGAGTGTGCACTTGTGTCTGCGCGCAAATTTTGTGTTACTATAATATCTCTTGGGCAGATATGACTAGTCTCAGTGAGATTGGCCGGCATGGACGTAATCGGTCAGGACATCATCATCATAAGCAAAAAATGTAAGTAATAAGTGGTTATACCATAATATGTATATGAGATATAAGAAAAACACAATTTCTAAATTTTTGTCTATCTGTCTGTATGTTTGTTCTGGCTAATCTCCGAAACAGCTGGACCGATTTTGACGGGAGTTTCACTGGAAGATAGCTGATGTTATAGGGAGTAACATAGGCTACTTTTATTTTAGATAAAGAACCTGGGTTCCGCTCAAAAAAAATAATACGTACTTAGGATGAAACCGAGTAAAGCGAGGGTGAGTCGCTAGTTTTAAATGAAACTTGTCTTTTCGGATTCTTATTTATTTTCATTAATAAATTGTATATCCCACCAGCCGCCCGGCCAGGGCATGCCGCCGCCGCACCACCAGCTGCCGCCGCACCAGGCGGGCCCCCCGCGCGGGCCCGCGCCGCTGCCGCAGCATCCAGGTAACTTTGGTAATACACACTATTGTTTTATTCCTTTTGTTTGACTTGGCTATCACCGGGTTGTGTGGCATGAAGAATTGCGAGGTATTTCTATTACTAACATATTAACTGTGGTTTTTATTTTGAAAGTTGTTTTTGAAGTTATACTTCTTTTGGCAAATTTGGTGTTACGCCAAAGTATTATAACTTTTTACGTGCGTAGGTTTTTAAGTACACACACACGTTTTTTTTGCTGACTTATGGTGTCAGTCATTTTGTATATGGATTTGTTGTAATTTAGTTTCATTGGCAGTATTAATAATTTATTTTGAATTAATTATTTATTATATATCAAATAATAACACAGTAACTTGAAACCTTAATACTGTTTTAAATGACTTTTTCTCATCTTTAATGGTACATATTTATAATTTAATAATTAAAATAGGCTAAATACATGCTTTAACATCAACATCATATTATAGAATAAAACTGCTTAATTTTAATTTGTTGCTTTACATAGTCTGCATGACTCATGCATGTTATAGTTATGGTGAATAATTAATAGAGACAAAGGATAGCAAATTCAGTATAAGTATGGTATTTGAGTAACATAAAAATTGTTGCAGTCAGTTTAAGTGTTACAAATATGATTGATATAAAGATATTTTTACAAATATTGAGTGAAAATATAAAAAAAAATCACTAAAGATATTGTGTGTTTTGTAATCTTAAACTCATGGTCAACCCTAAAAGAATACATACAATTTAAATTAACCAAATTGATCAAGCTGTCCGCGAAATCGGTGAACAAACCTAACAATACATATATGTCGACCATTGCAACAGTATTTTGTTTTTTAATTAAAAATGACATATATAATACCTATTGAATATTATAAACGCTTATATAGATTGGTAGATTGCAGAACTTGATGCAAAAACAAGAAACAAAATAATTTTTAAAAACATTTTTTTTTTAAATAACAGGTGTAGGTGGTGCACCCGCGCCGCACGTGAACCCGGCCTTCTTCAACCAACAGCCGCCGGTCCAGCCCGCGCCCGCCGTGCAGCCGCCGCAGCCGCAGCCACAAGGTAAAATATACTTCATACATATTATAAAAGAAAGTATTGTAACATACTAGCGACTTACCCTCGCTTCGCTCGGGTGCGCGTCTTTAGGTGCCTTTTTTTTTTTGAACGGGACCCTAATTCTTATTCAAACATGAAAGTAGCCCTAACTTATTCCTTGTAACAACAGCTGTCTGCCAGTGAAAGTCCCGTCAAAATCAGTCCAGCCGTTTCAGAGAATAGCCAGAACAAACAGACAGACAGATAGACAGAAATTTTTAGTAAAAAGCTGTTATTTTGTAATTACAAACAGACACTTTAGTTTTATTAATCTGTATAGATTATAAAGATCACTGAAAGTTGTTTAATTAATTAAATGCAAGATAAATTTTGCAACATTTAACATATTTGAGTTCAAACTTTAAAAATACTTGTAAAATAAAATAGTTTCAACGATTTGCAGATCAACATCTGTTATAACAGATATTATATATGGATAAAAATATGCGTGTATTCATGCAATCAAAAAAAACTCCGAAAAATTGCTTAAGGGATGGGACATCTGCACTAGTATTATGTCATCTGTGTTAGTAGTATAGGAATAATTTAATTACAATATTTTAAAATACAATGTGTTTATTTAGTTCAGAAAGTAATGGATCCAGTATTATAATATTAGGTCCAGGAGCTCCATACGGTCACCCAGCACACGGCGCGCCGCCCCCGACGCAGGGGCCGCCGCCCGGCGCAAGGCAACCGTACGGCAGACCACCTACGGTAAGCTTTGTTTTAAACATCTACAACAATATTAGATACGTATTATAATATAAAATAAAGCACAAGAGTTAAATATTTTATCTTATTGGTGCTCAAATTGCGATTCTATAAATATTTTCTTTGGATTTCTCCTGATATAATATTTATGTATTTTTATGTGCTATAAAGAATACATATACATAAATAAACCTATATACTATCAAAATCAAAGGTCAAAGACAGGTATGAATATGTACAACCAGAAACCTACTGACAAGAATGACTCGGCAACCTCCTAGATAATATATTAATGTTCTAGGAGGAGATATGAAAAAAATGATGCCACGAGTTCATACAAAAGGTTTGCATTGTCCTTAATATAAAAATTTGAATGTTTTTTATTCAATACAGAGCTACGCAGCAGCGGAGGCCCGTCCGGCGCACCACCCGTCGCCGCTGGGCCCGCACGCGCCGCCGCACGCCGCGCACGCCGCCGCGCTGCCGCACCCGCACCCGGCCATCAGCGAGGCGGAGTTCGAGGAGGTCATGAGCCGCAACCGCACCGTCTCATCCAGCGCCATAGCGCGCGCGGTCAGCGACGCGGCCGCCGGCGAGTACGCGTCCGCGATAGAGACGCTTGTCACTGCGATATCGCTCATCAAGCAGAGTAAGGTGAGATAAATATGTTAGTTGGGACTTGGACATTAACACACAGCATCGTCTACTTCCGTGGTAAGCTACGAGGCCTGTGTTATGGATACCGGATAGTTATACACTCATATAACTTTAATTACATAATATGTATTATAAATATAAACACCCATGACTGAGTACAAACATTGGTGCTCATCACAGAAATGAATGCCCCCATCGGGATTCGAACCCGCGACCGCTGGCACAGCCACTACTACTACAAACTGAGACAAACGTGTCGTCAACGATAAGATCTGAGGTGATCTGATATTGATTGTGATAGGTCATAATAATATTAATAAATTTACACCACGTTCGTGCCGTTTCTGTGATATGACTCATTAAGTAGAATAAGTTAAGATAACTAGGCTTGATAGTAAAAGTACCGTCGTCATAACCGTACCATGTCACCATTCAAGCAAAGTTCAAAGAAGTGTTGTATTCCATCCACAGTGTTGTCTGGTGCGATAGATAGAACGTGTTGTTGTAGCGATGTTGTTTGTATAAGCGATAGAGACGTTGGTCCATCATATTTATATAATTATCATTTCAAATTAATATTTCTTTTTAATTCTAGTAAAAGATAGACATTTTAATGTCATATTCAACAAAAAATAAACTTTTGAAAACTTGTTATTTGTGTCCAATACAAAGTTTAAAGTTTATATAATGGAAATGGCATTTGGCATTTAATTGAATCATTTATAGATATAGCAAATTCAACTAACAAATATCGCCTTCGATCCAGGTGGCACACGACGACCGCTGCAAGATCCTCATCTCGTCCCTCCAGGATACGCTACACGGTGTAGAGACCAAGTCGTACGGCGGCGAGCGAAGGCGGTCCCGATCCAGAGAGAGGGACGCGCGCGCCCACCATCGCGCACCGCGGCGTCGGGAGCGCTCTGCGTCCCGATACCGGGATAGATCGCGGGACAGAGACGATCGGGACAGGTGGGTTCTATCTTTATATATATAATTCTTCTGTGAGTGTGTATGTCACTGAACTTCTCTCAAACGACTGGACCGATTTTGATGAAATTTTTTGTGTGTGTTCAAGGGGATCTGGGAATGGTTTAGATTCACAATTTGAATAATAATTTTCATCAAAATGGTCCAGAATGTTTTAGCTTATTAAAAAAAGTTTGAAATTTTCAAATTAAAGACGTGTAGACAGGACAACGTCTGTCGGGTCCGCTAGTTGTATTGTAAAGTATGATCTTTGGTATTGTAAACATGTGATATTTCGGTCCATGAAGAGTATGGATTAGTCTAATAGACCAAAAATAATAATAAAAAAATGATTAGGACGGCTTAATTAGTTATGTGGTTAGGTGATTAATAAACAAGCTAATGCGCTACAAAAATTCGCCGTGAGCGATTCGCCTTCAGATATCAATCGTTTTATGGGTTTTCCTCTATGACTAAAATACTGAATTCTGCAACAGCGTTTCAAGAAAACACCTGAATATAAAGTTAACATCCAGTGCAGATATTTTTATAAAAAATATAAATTTATTAATAGGGAATTTATTGATTAAGTAATATGTATGATTTTTTAAAATATATTATACAAAAGCTAACATAACAACTGTTAAAAAATATTCAGCTCCAATTAACTAAAATAGTATAAAAAATTAAATATCATACCGATATGGATACTTTAAACGCCCGCCATTTCGCGCGCTTGGCGTGACGTCAAAGTATCATACATAGAAAACTGATAACTTTAATTTTTAGCGACAAAATCGCTAATCGCTCTTTTACGATAATACTTTGACGTCATATTCGGCCTGAACAATGACGTACCTTTCATCTAGTTTGAATTTTCCACCTATATTTGCCCTTTTTAATAATTCGTAATCAAAAAGAAATTACATTAAATAATATTGACGTAGGACTTAGTTCAAAAGCAATAAAATAAAAATAATATTTCACCTCTATTTAAAACACACGTATATTCCATATTGAACTTACGGTATTTGACATGAAAGCTCAAGATAAGGTACTAGATACAGGTTTATTGAATGTAGTAACTAGAACTATATAATGGATATCTTATGATTTAAAGAACAAAGCTATATTTATATATTTAGTATACTCCGATAAATATAACATAAAAAAATAGGAATAATATTTTTATTACTCTTTTTTTATTTATGTAATATATGCTGAGCCTGAAAGAAATCCCTTGACCATCGATTGGGGCTAATTTGGTTTTATAGATTACCATATCATAAAAATTTAATTAATCATATGACATAGAAATCAAAAGTTGCATATTATCATATATATTTTGATAAAAAACCCAAATAGCCCTCCTTCCCTCTTACCTTAAAATCATGTGTTACTCTTACATATATACAGTATATTTTATTTCGCGAATTCCTGTTAAATTTTATTCTGCTTAGTTCGTTTTCATTTACTTTACCGCTGTATGTAGTTTAGATTAAAAGTACATTCAATGTAATCACTTGATTACAGGTACAGGGAAAGGTCGAGGGAACGCGATCGTGAACGCGACCGTGATACGTAAGGCTTATATCATAACGATTTATAAATATGTTTAAAATATCGTATAGTATAAAAAATACACTAACTACCCCTATCACCAAAACGTATCAAATGAGCTCAAATTTGAAGTGTTTACTTAGTAGTCATTAAAGTTTTACTTAATGATATTTATTTTACAAGGTTTTATTTTTCTTTTTAGGTATTACAGAGACTATCGTGAGCGTGAACGTGATCGCTCCAGGTCAAGAGATCGTGAACGCACCGATCATTACAACAGAGGACACAGCCGAGAGGAAAGGTGAGAGGAATTGATTTGTTATAAGTTAAATATTAGTAAATAGATAACACAAAGGATTTTGTTATGTTGATTTGAATAAGAACAAATATAGATTTAAATGGAATCTCTTTAATGTATTATCAGTCTGAAATAAGAAATAGTTTATACTTCGATTAATTCACAATTCGTTCTTTATAAAGCGTTTAAAAATTAATTAATTAATCTGTATGATTATGAATCACATAGTTAAGCTACTTACTATCGCTTCGCTTCAGATGCGTCCCCAGTTGCCTATCAGTAGCCTATGTTTAAGCGTTAACAAATAACAAACATTCAAACACACATATATAAACTTATAATAATATCCGATTGTATGTATATATTCAGCCTTTAAACGGTAATCCAATTAACAAAATTGATTAATTAATTATTATATTTATTTCAAGTTTACTAAATGGATCTATTTAGTAATGATTTAAATTATTTGAATTTTATTTAAATTAGGATATTTATTATAATTAACCGAATATAACATATAATAAAGTTATTAATTATAAATTTCTGTTAATACAGTAATATAGTATTTATTACTAACAAATATGGATGTGATATCTTGAATTAAAATTATTATATTATTAAAATTAATTTGTCAGGCCGCGCAAGTCGCCGGTAGAGCCAGTAGCAGAAGCGGGTGCCGGTGACGCGACCAGTGCGAAGAGCCGTACCGCCGCCGCGCCCTACTACGACGAGCGTTACCGCGAGCGGCGTGACCGCGACCCCCCGCCCGCGGACCGGGACCGTGACCGTGACCGCGACCACAGGCGTGACGCGAGACACTAGATACATGACACGAGACAATATCTAGAGCAGGGCTGCCAGATAACAGTCGTTGATTTACCCGACCAATAAACTTCAAAATACCCGGTTTACCCCGCCGGCGCCAACCATGAACAGAATACCAGAAAATAGTTTTTTTAAGTAATTTAATCATGTTTTATATAGAATCAAAGAAAGTACTAATGTCAGAAAAAGAAGTCATTGTAATCAGTTCTCAATTAAACAGCTTTAAATTATTAAATTGAACATACATAAAGAAAACTTAAAATATCTAATTAATCAGCTAAACTAAAATACATGCTTTGACCACGCTTAATAACCCGTCAAAATTATCCACTATCAAAAATCGTCTAAAATTACCCGCTTTTCGGGTAATTTACCCGCTTTTCGGGTAATTTACCCGCCAATTGGCAGCGCTGCTCTAGAGGCAAAGCTTTGTACAACTGTGCAGTTATACGTACACTACACAGTGACGTAGCAAGTATACGTGACGCCCGGGATGATAATCGATAATCTAACTTCTAAATAAATCCTAAGTCATTATTATTGAACCTCGATAATGTATATTTTAAATGATAACGTGTGACTTTTGGTACAATAGGCTGTCATTTTCTAAATTGGCAGCACTAACATTCGTTTTTAGCATATTGTATTTCGTGCGGTGTAACCATCACCTCTAATCGGGTGACTTACGGATCGGACCGCCTTCACCTGTCCATCCTAGCTACTACATTAGGTAATTTTAGAACTTTGTGAGCGTTTTCTTTTAAACGTGATGCGTTCGTACTGAAATTGTCAACAGCTCGAGCCGGAAAAAAACGGTTTTGTCAACGGGCAGTGCGAACCGTCAACTCGTCTGTGCGTCTGTCTGTCACACAGTGTAGTAGTGTGCCTATCGTTGCGTGGTTTTATAAAGCTTTATCTTTGTAGGGATAGTTACGTGCCCGCATACAGTACACACACATAATATGCATGTGCCTACATGTACAGATATACAAACATGTGTGCATGTACACACATACATTTATACGGACAATATATTTATGAAGTCGAGTGAACTTAACTAAATTGATCCTTGCACAATATGAGAAGTTTGCATAAATTCAGCAATCACTAAAGCAATGTGCATTGTACATTTTACCTTCTTGACTAAATTATATAAACAATGCTCGTGTGTACGTGTACTTGTTAGACTTGATGAGGCATACATATCAGATCAAACAACAAAGACCGAGCATAGAGAACAATAAATTTAGAGCTAATATCCTATTTGCGACCATAAATATCTATCAGTTCAAATGTCAATCGATTTTTCATATACACATTCACACTGCACCTTATTTATACATGTCACAGATTACATGTACAATGTACATATACAAACCAATACACCTACATTGTATGTATGGAATTTAGTACATGTATATATTGAATTTGTATAGATATTTATGGTTCTAAATAAAAATAAACACTTTAATTCCTACGACATGAACGAAGAACTCTGAATCTTTGTATTTATTTAACTGATACAAAAAAAACCGAGTGATAATCGCATTAATTTGATACGCGATTAAATAGACACTAGCGAAATAGAACAGAGCGATTTCAAATTTTTATTTTTTATTTTTAACGTAACATTGTCGAAGTAATTATATTGTGCTCAACTGGTGTGCTATTACTATAAAGCCATTAACAAGAAAATTGAATTGAATTTGAACTATTTGGTGGTTTCTGGCATCAGAGCGCCTTCAAACATCATGCATTTCAGCAACAATTGCAGGATTTTCGTTTCGATTAGATGTTTTTTTAAAAGATTTCGAGTTCCACGGAGTTACACGGACATAGTGTTTTTTTTTGATTGTTTTGTGATTATAACTTCTGCAGTGACATACCATATGTATTGAGCATAAATTTTATACAAAAAATATATAGAATAAACAAGATTAGAAAGGACGACACTATAAATTCATTTTGGAAACAACTAAATAGTATTTTAAAGTCATCCTTTTTGAAGCTAGATAAGTATAACAAAAATAACGTAAATATGACACAAGACAATATAACATAATATTGTTTACTGTTTATGGATATTGATATTTATTATGGATTTAATACAAAAAATATTGGAAGCAATCGTAAAGATTGAAGTGTGCCTCGCTATTCAAGTCACAGTCATCATTAACTGTCTGTGTATTTAAAACGTAAAACTAACCTCGTGTTTATTTCCATATAAAAAAAATGTTTTTTCCCTTTACTTTCAATTATTTTAAACAAAATTTGTTAGTAAACTACAGTTATATAATTTTAATACATGTCATATCGTAATGTAATAGTGATTTATATGATAATAAGCTATTGAGATGTGTATATGAATTGTTAGTAACTCTTTTATTCAACAAATGGTTAAGGACATTAAAAAAGAATGCAAACTTCGCGTATACCTTATGATTTTTGGTATAGAATTTTGTATTTGATTGTCAGTAGTGAATGAAACACTTGATTTTTGTGTTTTTAGTATAAATGTATAAATTTATGTAACATGTCGTTATGTACATAACATGTGTAAGTAATAACGCATGGTATATAGCATTCATTGATGTTTCATGCAAAACAAGTCAATATCAGAAGTAAATTAATTAAAAAAATATTGTAACAAGTGGCTTCTTTATGGAAATGAACAACATTCCAAAGTCGAGTTTTTAATGTCACCAAATTTAATATATTTGTGTGGGAATATTTTTAAGAGTTGTAAATCTATATTTCTATTGAGTGGTGTTCAATTGAAATGGTTTAGTTCTAATTAGATGTTAGTTAGGTTCCTAGCTGTAAGATATCGCGTATGGTTACGCCATACATTGACACTGATTTTTAGGGCTTATTTCCTGAATAAATTGATGTATCATTTTAAAGTGTTTTATTTTATTTCAAATCTGCGATTCATTCAGTTTATCCTTTAGTAAGTTATTTGGTGATGTAACAAATATAAAATACTAGCAACTCATCCTCGCTCCGCTCGGGTTCGTCCCTTACGTTTTAAGATTTAGTATAATATATTTCTCAGAGATGAGATATTTTCCATATATGTTGACCCGAATAACCAGCTCTCATCATACTTAATGTTATCAAACTCACTCCAGTGGTTTTTCCGTGATGCGGTAACACACAGATACATAGGCAGATACAAAAATTCTAAAAATTTGTTTCGGCCTCTGTATCGATAATAAATAATAATGTCTATTCAATAAGATTTTCCAAAAAATATTTAATGCACAGAATCAGTTTAGTTACAATTTTGTTATATTTATTATATACTAGCAGAACTCGCGGCTTCGCTCGCGCTAAAACTACAAAAAAAGTCTAAAAAGGTAGTTTCATAAAAAATGTCATCCATTTTAGCCCCTTATAGATGAATTTCGAAAAATGCTAAACACGTATTTATTTAACTTTATTGAAGAGCTATTAATACCAAGTTTCAAGTAATTCTGATCATAATTGTTTTTATTTATTGGATAACAATGTATTTTACCGTGGGAATTAGATAATTTCCCGCGGCAAAAAGTAGCCTATGTTAATCTCTACACAAAAAATCTCTGCTGCTGCTAACTATCTCAACACAAAAAATTACACCAATCCGTCACTCCGTTTCGACGTGAAAGAAGGACAAACAAACAAACATACTTTCACATTTAAATTATAGTATGGAAGTACCTTTGTTTTAGCACTGTTTTATTTTTTATTAATTCATGCTTTATATCAATTTTATAAAACGAGATCGTGTTAATCGACACGAACTCACCATGCTTTTATAGGACATGTACCTATTGTGCTGCAAATGCGTACGGATTTCAAGTTACCGAAAGGGCATTGGCACACTATTTTTGTTATTAATGTTTTGCTGCGTTATTCATGTCTAAATTACAAACAGCTAAGTAGGTTTTCAGTTTTATATCCCATACATAATTGTATAAATATATGAAAAGTAAGGAAGGCAATAGTAGTTACCCAGTGGTATTGCACTCGCTTGCAAATCGAGTGAAGCGGGTTCCAATCCCGGGTCTCGCACCTCTAATATTTTCATATACGAATCATTTCCTACACGATTACTACTTGTCTTACGGTGAAGGAAAACATCGTGAGGAATCCTGCATATCTGAGAGAACCTAGCAAGTTTTCGAAAGACATGACGTTAAGTCCGACATTAAGACTAACCTAACCCGCACTGTGGACGTTAAAAAGGCCATACGATTTACGATATACATACAATATGTAAAAAGAAAATTTTGCAGGCCTTTGCGCTCCGCTTTGTCATAGTTTCTCGCGGCTTTTGTATAATTACTTCGTTTCTAAAAGCGTGATGTTAGAAATTTTATACTGATATACAGAATGTCCCGTAAGGAGTGGACCAACGAAATGTCGGTGATAAAGGGGGTTTAAAGTATTATCCTATTCCTAAATAGTTTTAGAGATACGATTTTTTCATAAAAAATATATAAAAAATGCTAAAAAGTGGGTTTATTTATGGTCCGATAAAAGAATACTTAGCTTTATAGACTTATTCATTAAGGATAATTAAATTATATAGGCTATTTAAGTTGGACAAAAGAAGTTCTACGTTCAAACTAAATGAATTATGGTCGATCAATAGTATTAGCAAAATATAAAAAGACTTGATGGTAAGTGGTCGTCTTTAATCTTGACGGAAATTCAGGAGCTGAGTAATCTATATTCCAGATAGACTAGCTATAGATAACTAACGAAGGTGTCTAGACAGGGCAGTGGCACGGTAATTATGTAATATTACCGTGGCAGCGGTGAGGTGTGTGGGGTGCGACACCGGATGTCATACTTACCTATTAATGAGATTCGGGGCTCGGCTTTTAGGGTAAACGGGTGTTTTTATTTACCAATTTTGTAAAAAATATTTATGACGAACTGTATTTTTTTGTCAATTTTGGGGTTCTGAATTCAGAAAATAGACTCGTATTTTTGAATTAAAAAAG